ATGAAATCAAATCTGCCCATTATCTTGTTACCTTACCTCTGGTGTCATATTTAGGAAATTGCTTTGAAATCAAATTCTATGAATCATTTGTCACTTGTCTTCTTGTAAAGTTCTATAGATCTAGGCATTTTACTTAGATCTTTGTTTCATTCTGAATGTTTTATATATGTGATATTATGTAAGTATCCAACTTCATTATAATACATGTGGGTAGTCAGTTTCCCAGGATCATTTTTGTGGAAAAAAACTGTAATTTATGTTTTCCAATTTATGATCTAGGCACTTTTCTCAAAAATCATTTTACTTATATGGGAAGATTTATTTCTGGAACTTATTCTGTTTCATTGCTCAGCATGTCTGTTTTCATGATAGGATGTTTTGATTGCTGGAGAGGTATTTTTTGGTTTTGTTTTTGGGTTTGTTCTTTTTTTTTTTTTTTGTCTATTTTTGAGACAGGGTCTCACTATACAGTTCAGGGTAGCCTTTAGCTTACTTTTTAGCCCAGACTGGCCTCAAACTCACAGTGATCTTCCTGCCTCAGCCTCTTGAGTGCTGGAATTACAGGCAGGCACCACCATGGCTGTCTGGATGCTGTAGTTTTGTAGTAATATTTGAAGACAGTTTGAAATATCCAACCTTGTTCTTCTTTTTAAAAAATTGTTTTGGATATTCAGTGTCCATTGAGATCCGCTATGAATTTTAGAGTAAGTTTAGTATGTCTCCAAAATTATTATTGAGAAGTTAATAGTTATTGCAATAAATTGATAGAATATTTTGGATAGTATCAAAATTCTCATGATATTAAGACTTATGACCCATGAACATAGGAGGATTTTTCAGTTATTTAAGTGTTCTTTGATTTCCTTTGATAATGTTTTAGGGTTTTCTTTGTACAACTCATTTTTCTCTGTTTAAATTAGTTGTAAAATATTATGTTATTATTTTTGATGCTGTAACTAATATAATTGCTTTTATAATATTATTTTCATATTTTTGTTTATTTTAATTTTGTGTATTTATTTATTTATTTGGTACTGGAAATCAAACTCAGGTCCTTATTCTTGCTAGGCAAATGCTGTGCTGCTGAGCTAAATTCCTGGCCCAAGTTGATCATTTTAGTGTGTAGAAATGCACCTTATTATTGCATGTTAACTGTATCCTTCTGGTAGTCAAATTATTTTACTAGCTCTAAAACCTTTTCTAAATATGTGTGTGTGGGTAACCTTTATGTTTTAGGTCTTTTTTCTATACAAGATCATATCATCTCTGAATAGAGATCATTTTATTTTTTCCTTTCCAGCCTGGAAGCCTTTATTTTTCTTGCCACATTGCACCATCATTCCATTTTACTTACAAATGCATTTATTGATTATTTATTATGTGCAAGCGCCTAACATATGCTTCAAGAAAAAGTAACACTAAATAGCACATTTCTTTATTCCAGATAAGTTTATGTTTATGAATTCCTTTGCCATGTAAACTTCATGAAAGCAGAGATTTTTCTGTTTTGTTAAGGGTTGTATTCCTTGTATTTAAAGTAGTGCTTTGGACATAATAAAAGCTTATTAAGTATGTGAACAAATGAATTAACAAGGAAGTTGCTTTTGAAATGAACAAATGAAGAAAGGAGAAAATCCATGTAATGATGGGAAAAAATGAGGAGAAGCAAACACCCTTCTGATCAGAGGTTTTGGGTTTTGGAACTGTTATAGAATAAAGAGAAAGTTTTAAAATTATATTCTTTACTGTAGCTAATTTTAAACAACAATCTTGGTAGGAGAAAAGGAGGCAAGCACGATAGAAGAAAAAAAAACATCACTTTTAACAAGATTTTTAAAAGCATTGCAAGTTGAGTTTACTCAATTCAATGATTTTATTTTTAGTAGCTAATTCTACCATTTGTTGCTCTCCTACATTCAAAAATGGTGCCCTCTTGAAAGGATATAAGAAGTAAAGTGGGATAAAAAAATTTTCCTTGTTTTCATGGAGCCTGCATTCTAACAAGACAACACTGCAGAGGGTGGGGACTTTATTGTGATATATGTAAGAAAAGTTATAGGCTCTTAGTTGGAGAGGATGGTGTGACCCACGTAGGTGAGGAAGATCAGGTAAAGTCTCCTGAGGAGCAGGCTCTGTGTGAAGTCTGATGGACATATCACAGGGACTGTGAAGTCAAGGCAAGGAGAAAGTGTTCAAATGGGAGTCCATGGATAAGGGTGTCAGGTAAATGCATTTGAGCACTTTGCAGTGGTGAACCAGACAAGATGGATAGAGGCATTAAGCATAGGCCAAGTTTATAGGTAGGTACACATCATAGTGTCTTATAGGATGGGTTACAGACATTTGAAATGGACTCCAGAAGTCACTTAGTTCAAGTTAGAGGACAAAATTCAATATTGCCTCTGAAGAATGACAAGTATAAAATACATCATGGTCATTCTTATAATCTGTTTAAAATTAGAAAACAATTATTTGAAAGGGATTTAACCTAGGATCTTTTCCCTAAGTTATTTCTCTAATTATTTTTAAACTTTTTTTTTTGTCTTGAGATAGAATCCACCTAAATTGCTTAGTTGCTTAAGTTTGTCTCAAACTTAACATCCCCTACCTCAGTCTTACAGTGTGCCTCCATGCATGGTTTAATGCTTTTCACTGATACAAAATTTATTACCTTATTGTAAAATGTAAAATATAATTTCTACTAAGTCAATTAGTGGAGTTATAGGAGAAAATAATCAAGGCATTAGTAAAAGCTAGGGCCTTTATCATGCATCTTATGGAAACACAAAAGACTGTATCATCAGATGAACTGGAGTTTAGCCAACTGAGATTGCCTTTGCCATTGTCCACAGGGCTGAGAAATAGAACAGATTTCCATGTCAGTGGAAATGATGCTCCTTCTCATTCTCAGGAAAGTTTGTCTATTTAGAATTTTCCTGGAATATGCTACTTCAATTTCAAAGAACCATTTACTGAGTTGTTAAAAAACAGTGGTCTAGATAAGCTTATATATTGTCATGATTTATGTTGGTGGCCCTCAGGCATGTGTTTATATTTGGATTGATGGTGTTAGTGCTACACCCACATAGAAGTGGACCCAGGATGTGATATAATGACAGTAAAAAGGCGTGTCTGCTCTTTTGTGGGTTTTTGTTTTGTTGTTTGTAGCTGTCATAAACTGTGGCCTTGCCATGTTACCCTGTCTTGGAGTATGGACTAAAACCTCCAAAAACTGTAAGACATAAACCTTTTTTTCCCCCAACTTTGGACATCAGGTGTTTTGTCTCAGCGACAAGTAAAAAGTAACTAAGACTGAGTTTGGTACCTAGGAGTTGGGTCATTTGCTGTGATTATACCTGACCATGTTTTTGAGGGGCTTTAAAAATGGCTTGTGGGCAGAGTTTAGAAAAGTTTGGACATGTCACCTGGATGCATAGAGCTAGAGCACCTTAGGCTGTTCTGTAGAGGAGATTCTGGCCAGAGCTCAGGAGAGCAAAAGGCTGATATAAAGCCTCATGGTAAAGACCAGGCTTGAAGGTTTCTGCTGGGAAAGAGGACTTCATTGGTTATTGGACTCCCCATGATGTGTGTTAGGCTTAGCAGAAAGTTCATCTGCATTTTGCTCATGCCCAGAGACTTTGCAGAGACTTTGCCTGAGACTGAGACTAAAGGCAATGGGATGATTAATCTGGAAAAGAAAATTTCGAGGCAGTCAAATGTTGAGGCTGTGACATGGCTATTGCTGGGGGCTTTTAGCCAGCTTTGCAAATCAAGAGCAAAGAGCCCAACAGGACAATTTACAATACTGTGAGTTTGGTCAAAAGAAAAATCCCAGGAAAGCTGTGGATTGTAAAGACAGAATTGAGACTTTGATTGCTGAGAAGAAACAGAGAGATAAAAAAGATGGCCTTGGGGCATCCCAAAAAGCAGCCCGTCTCCACCCTTTGCAAGCTTAAAACTGAAAAAGTAAAAAAAATTGCTCAGAGAAAAAAGCAACAGAACACCATGCTCCAAAATGGCAACACAGGCCACATGAGGTTCCAAAATGGCGGCAACATAAAAAAGCCTTTCTTCACAATCAGGTTCACAGAGCCCAGAGATCCAGGCAATGGATCCCTGCAGCCAAGGAAAAAAAAAAAAAAAAAAAAAAAGCCTGGCTACTGCTCCAAATGGCAGCAAACCTTGGTGATATCCACATGGTGCTGATTTTAGGTGCAAAAAAGTGCACAAATTCTGAGGGTAAAATGGCTTCCACCTCGATTACAAAGGGCCTGCAAGTCCAAACAGTGTGCCCCTGAGAGGGCAATATCTAAAGATGTAAGGGTGAAGCCAAAGATACAGTAGAGACCCCCAAAAGTTTAAAAAAGCCAAAAATGTGGATCATCCAAGGAAAGCTACAAAAAGCAAACAAAAAAGATTTAAAAGAAAAGCTGTGAGAGCTAAAATCTCTAAAAGTGCCACGGAGGTGAAATCACCCAAGCCTTTTAGAATTTACAACCATATTGCTTCAAATGCTGAGCATAAAACTCTAAGACTTAATGTTCCGTCCTGCTGGATGTTAGACTTGCTTTGTTTTCAATGCTTTATGTTTCTCTGTTTGTAACTTTTGAAATGGTAATGTTTATCTTGTGCCTTTGCATTTCAGAAATGTTTAAACTTGTTTCATTTGTACAGGGGCTTACAGTTAAGAGTTTGCCATAGATCTTAAATGAAACTTGAGACTTAGACTTCTCAACAATGCTAAAATTGTTAAGACTTTGACTACTATTAGAGATGGACTAAATATCTTTTATATAAAGGATCTACATAAGTCCTGAGGTCCAGGGGTAAAATGACATGGTTTATGTCTGTGGCCCTCAGGCCTCATGCATTTGCATTATGTATCTGTGATTGCTTCATTGTCTAGTTCTTAGATGGATAGTGTCAATACTATACCCACATAGAGGTGGAGCCAGGAGGTGATATAATGACAGGAAAAAGGTGTGTCTGCTCTTTTGCAGGTTTCTGCCTTGCTATTTGCAGCTGCCATAAACTGAGGCCTCATCATGCCATCCTGCTTTGGAGCCAACCCAGTATGGACTAAAACCTCCAAAAATTGTAAGAAATAAACCTTTCCTTTCCCAACTTTGGGCATCAGGTGTTTTGTCTCAGCGACAAAAAATAACTAAAACATGCATTATGAACTAGCTGTTATAAATGTCTAATGTTCATTTCAGAATTTAAGGTAGCCAGTAAATGATCAATTTACAAACATAAAAAGACATTAATTAGTAATTAAATTTCTAATCCTACAGTCACATTACATCTCACAAGGTAAAACTTTCTTTCTGTGTTTAGGCAAGACACAGATAACAGTCGTCCAACTGAATTAACCTAAAAGGACAATTAAGAAAGAGCAAGCAAAGCAATCTTTGAAAGTATTTCAGGCTCAGAAAAACTCCAGATATACAACTCTCCTTGATGAATGTAATCATTATGTACTGAAAACATGTTTTTATAAAAAGAAATAACTGAATAACTTCATATAACTACAGATTCAATCAGGTCTAAAGGAAGAATTTTGAAAGATGAACCGAGAGAAGAGAAAAGATACCTGAATAGTAGATTATACAACTCTCACATTTGTATAGTGTCCAAATATACTATAAATAATATGTAATATCCTTGCAGTGACATATAAAAATGTGTCTGCTTAGTAAATTTGATGTACTATTATTTTTTATCTTCTCTATCTTTACTTATTACATTCCCTTCCATTAAGAAAAGTTATTTTGATCAATTAAATTGATTTCGCATTCTAACATATAGCCTGTAAGCCCAAAATTTGACGAATAACACTGTTCCAGGAAGACACAGACTAAACAGAAGGATAGAAAAGATAAGATAGCCCGTGGTTAATAAAGGAGATGTTGTGTATTTTCTCAAAGGATTACATGATGAATCATAGAATGTTCCTTGTCCTGAGATTGAAACCCCATGAGTACAGAGGGAATGAGGCCATCAACACAGGAGGCTAGACAGTATTGTTTGAAGCATAGAGGAGAAATAAATAATTGTTTAATGAAGAACTGAAAGAATTATTGGCCTCTTCTACAATCTTATCTCAAAGTTGGAGTCCTGAGAAGCCAAATGTATAACCAACAGGATGCAAACCTATTCTAAGGAAAAGAAAAAGAGTATAAGCCATACGCTTTTTAACTGTGCTTCCCTAGGAAATTTTAATGTCTAAATTTATCCTATCTTCTTAAAGTTTAATAAATTATTATGCAGTAATTTCTGCTAATTAAACCATTTTTATATAATTTTGTCACAAGACTGCAGGTTGAATGAAGTACATGAAAAGTAGATTTCATTTCATCTAACAATTTTTTACCCAACTTGTTAATATGAGTTATGTTTGAGACACTCATGAAATTTTTGAGATATTCAAGAATATTTGTGCTTTTCTTGGCTTTATGTAGAAGTGCTGCTGCTATGGCTGCTTGCTAGCTGTAATCTCGGTCTCTGTGCCCTTTGCCAGCCCTGAGGTAATACTGGAGAGGTGAGGGCTATGTGGCCAGCCGCAGGGATAAGGATAATCAGGTGACACAGTAGTTAGCGGCCTGATGTAGCGGAAAGAATGTAAATTCCCTGGAGGTATGTTTGATCTTGAAGATACCCTTGACTATGAAGAAATAAATATTGAGAGGATGCCTCCGACCACACTGGTACTTCTATAATCTAGGAGAACAGTTAGTACAGAAATTCTCTGAGAAAGTTACCTTTAAGATCCTTAAAACAAGAATCAGTGAACTTATTCTAAGTCCTGCGGTAAGTGATTTGCTTTGTTAAAATACCCATGGTTTTATGAAGTTTCTGTCTCACGTTCTCAACTTTGCCATAGTAGAAGGAAGCCATTGGCAAGAAAGGAGGCATTACTGCATTGAAATAAAAGTTTATTTAATCAAATAGGTATTGGGCTGAGGTAGTGTAAGTATGTCATTTGGTACCTCCCCATCTTGGTCATTCGTATCTTAGACATTGTGCTACAATATTTTTGTAGAAAATAATCGCATATCATTGGTGAGAATGGCTCTTGTTGGATGTTAAACATTTCAAATAACTTCAAGTCTTGCAAAAATTGTAGAGGACCAAAACAAAGAAAATTTGAGGAGAGCTGGCTTAATGAAAAGTTCTGTTCTTAATTACTTGGATGTTGTAAATAGCTGGGTCAACACAGGCTGGAAAGTCCCTCTGTTGCTGCTAGAGTATTCCTCTTCTCCGCATTTATCAACTTGTTTCTCTCTGGCATGGTTCCATTTCTGCTTTAAGCCCAAGAGGAACTTCCTATAGCCATTAGGTCATCTAGTGGGTTCCCTACCTTTCAGCCTTCCAGGACTTTCTGTAGTTGATTGTGTCTTAACCATGTAAAGGTTCATAGTAGAACACTGCAGCCCATAATAGGAAGTAAAGTTGAGAGGAGGAAGCTAATGGGTACAATCAGACCTGCTTCTAGACTTCCACCATCAGCCTTGCCACGATCCCACATCCTTCTCCTTAAAGTTACATTGTTTCACAAGAAAAATCAATATTCACAAATCTGCATGGTTTTGTTTTCTGATTTGGAATTTACAGTATAGTATTTCTAGTATCATAGCAGACAAAGTATTTTCATACAAAACCAAACTTTCCTTCCTCAAATATTCAAGAAACTTGATTCTCCAAAAAAATCCTTTGGCACCCATATTATCCATAGTTCATAGTCTAATGGTACTGTGGTAATGGGCTTTCCTTCATCCTGACTTTTAGAAAACTGAAACATTTTGAGGGAAGATTATAGTAAAGATCCCATGCTTATAATTTTGAGTCTTTCCTGACTATTTGCTGGATCTTGTCAGTGGAAAAACTACATTTATATTAGATTTATAATTGTGTTTCATATAGGAAAGGAAGCTTAGTATAGTGGCTAACAAGGAAGACTCTGGAGTCCTTTTGCTTGGCTTATGTGCTGAGTGCCTCCATTTTCTCAAAGTGGGGCTAACTATACTTTGTTGGGTTGTGGGCATTACAGGTAAAGTATTTTGAAAAGTATCTGGTATATCATGTGCATTCAATACACATGCTAAAACCTAAACCTAGGGTATATGTAAATACAGGACAAGAAGGGGTAATAGCTATTACACATTTTCCTTATGTAAGTTTATGCTAATTTTATTTTGTGAATTCATTAAAATTAAACAGTTCACAACTGTCACTTATCTCCTCCTTGCCTTGATTTTTCCTCTTTTTCCTGTATATGAAGAAGGATCTTTGATTTTTTTATGTCAAAAATAAATTTAGAACAAGTTTAAAAAAATTAAAGATTTCTTCTGCTCACAAAGAACAATTCATGAACCAGGAGATGTCAGATCCACCACAGTAAAAATCCCAGCTCCCAAGAGTCACAGAATCATTTATGAAGCAGAAAGGAGGAAGTATGTCATCCTTTTTTGTGATTGGTTGCTATATGTTGACATTCTTTTTAGGGCAATTGTTTCTACTTAGGCTGATCAACATATGGCTGATTGGTTTAATTTCACTGAATCAAACTGACAATGATGTAAAGTTTACATTTTGTTTTTAATTTAATTTTTGATTAGAGTCAGCATTTAGGGGAAATAGAATGACTTTAGGTTTTGATTATGTGGTTATGTGAGTAGTCTTGGGGCATATTTAAACTATAGCTTCCATATTACTATATATTTTTTAACAATGAGCTTCATGTTACTTGAAGAAGGCAGTGACTGGTAGTCTGTCAATTTGATAGCTTCAATATTTGAATTTTGACTGTGAATTCTTTTTCTGATGATGAAGTGAAAAGGTAAAAGCCAGTTCCCTTCTCTGGGTATCAGATCTCTAACGTACAGCAGTGTTTTATAATATACACCTTGAAGAATTGTGTGTATATAGTGCCAAACAAAGTAAAAAGCTCCAGTAGTTACTGAGCAAATTTGTTATGTTATTACTATTTCATTATATTTTTATTCTCTGGAGGTATCTATTTTTCATGTGAAACCTAAAGAATGGAGTAACGAATTAGAAAGCTGTGACTAGAAACCTGAACTCTGGACCCACCTCTGACAAGAACTACTCAAGAGATGCTAGGCAAGTCTGTCCTTTTCTGCACATTTCTGTTTGAGAGCATGAAGATAATATGGTGAGGGCAGACACAGACCAGGAGAGAAAAACAGCAAGAGCTTTGCAGCTTTGTTTCTCACAATGCCCTGGAGAGAGCACAGCCACACCACAGAGTGGAAGAATTACTGCCCCCTTCCCCACATAAGGAACCCTGAGTGTGGGTGACTGTGAGCAAGTATCTTTATTGTAGTTTCTGTAGGAAGGAAATGTGAGGCAGAGTGAACAAAGTCAGTGTTGGGAGCCATTGAAACTGGAAATTGAACAACACTTGCAGGGCTGCTACATGGCAGGGGGCAAGATAAGATCACAGCTGAGGATACTTGGCTCCAACTCCAATTAACTAAATAGACTGTAGCCACAGGCATTTCACCCCTGTAGTGAAATGCAACATGGAAATTTTCTAAGATACTTCTCCTTGTTATCGTGATTTGTTACTTGCAAAGTCCTTGACCCACTCCCAAGGTCAGGTCAACCTCCTGCATTTTGAACTCTAACCCCCTAAATAAATATGGGCAATCCAGAGACATTCCCTGTCTTAGCCATGGAGTTCTCAAACTCTATAGATGGTTTTGATCCTTCTGGAGCCCTAGAATCATACCCCTTATCTCATTTATGTTAAGTCTTCACTGTACACTCTTTTGGGAGATTGGGGATTTAGGCCAGGTCCCCAATAGGTCAGGATTGGCCAAGCCACATACTTTCAGCAGGCTCTGGACGTGTGTTGTATCTAGTCTTGGGGAAAAGACAGCAGATGGAGTGTGGCTCAGAGTGTGAGTACAACAAGGGAAGTGGTTGAGATGTGGACCTAATCAAGGGCACTGAAAAGGGAACCAATTGTCTGGAACTAGAACTCGAAAATGGCAGACAGTGCAAAATCAGCTAAATAATAAAGATTAGATAAACTGATGTTTCATTCCAGGTTGATTTGAAAATTCATGAGTGCCTTGCTTGGCAGTAGCTGGTGCAAA